ATTGCAGATTCAGTCTTCCCAGCCTGGTGCAGGTCTACAATTTTGTTTCTGGTGTCCTTTGACAGCTCTTTGGTCTTGGCCATAGTGGAGTTTGGAGTGTGACTGTTTGAGGTTGTGGACAGGTGTCTTTTATACTGATAACAAGTTCAAACAGGTGCCATTAATACAGGTAACGAGTGGAGGACAGAGGAGCCTCTTAAAAAAGAAGTTACAGGTCTGTGAGAGCCAGATATCTTGCTTGTTTGTAGGTGACCAAATACTTATTTTCCACCATAATTTGCTAATAAATTCATTAAAAATCCTACAATGTGATTTTTTGGAGAAAAAAAATCTCAATTTGTCTGTCATAGTTGACCTGTACCTATGATGAAAATTACAGACCTCTCTCATCTTTTTAAGTGGGAGAACTTGCACAATTGGTGGCTGACTAAATACTTTTTTCCCCCACTGTATACACACCCGTCTGAAGTTTGCCCATGAACATCTGAATGATTCAGAGGAGAACTGGGTGAAAATGTTGTGGTCAGATGAGACCAAAATCGAGCTCTTTGGCATCAACTCAACTCGCCGTGTTTGGAGGAGGAGGAATACTACCTATGACCCCAAGAACACCATCCCCACCGTGAAACATGGAGGTGGAAACATTATGCTTTGGGGGTGTTTTTCTGCTAAGGGGACAGGACAACTTCACCGCATCAAAGGGACGATGGACGGGGCCATGTACCGTCAAATCTTGGGTGAGAACCTCCTTCCCTCAGCCAGGGCATTGAAAATGGGTCGTGGATGGGTATTCCAGCATGTCAATGACCCAAAACACACGGCCAAGGCACCAAAGGAGTGGCTCAAGAAGAAGCACATTAAGGTCCTGGAGTGGCCTAGCCAGTCTCCAGATCTTAATCCCATAGACAATCTGTGGAGGGAGCTGAAGGTTCGAGTTGCCAAACGTCAGCCTCGAAACCTTAATGACTTGGAGAAGATCTGCAAAGAGGAGTGGGACAAAATCCCTCCGGAGATTTTTTTTTGTTATTCTGTCTCTCACTGTTCAAATAAATATAGATTGATCGTGTCTTTGTAAGTGGGCAAACGTACAAAATCAGCAGGCGATCAAATACTTTTTTCCCTCACTGTACAGTATATTGCCAACAATATAGTTTTGCACTTTGCCTAAACTCTTTTTTATTTTCGCAACATTACTTGCTGATTGGCAGCAAACTGTAGCAGTGGCAGCCTATCAGAATATTGCAGGTGTGGCTTATTGGAAGCATGGCTTTCAGCTATCTCTTTTTGGTCTCCCATGAGAGGGAATGTCATCCCAGTTAATTTGTTCTGTTGTATACTGTTCTTAAAAAAATAAGCTAGCACACAGTCAGTTCTCCAGCCTTGTTAAAGGCTGACATATTTCATTAATAGCTAGTCAACATGTAATTTTACTACTCACTTCCCTGCTACACTACCAGTGAATGTGTGACAGGTTATCTACAGTAAATTGCTGTACATTTTACACTAACCCACTAGCAGCTAGTTGAAAGTTATTGAAAGTTACATTCACTTTCTGTGAACTAGCTGCCATTAAGCTACAGTGCAGCGCTTGATTGTCACAAGTTCTTACAATGATTGCAGAACTGACAGTGTCATGTTTTTGGAATACCACATGTTTTTGGAATACCACACTTTCACATCACATGTGAAAGTGTGTACGTTTGGAACCCTTAATGTGTGACATTTCACATGTGAAAACGTGATCATGTGAAATTCATGTGGTTTTTTCTGTAAGGGTGAGGAAGGACTATGTTAGGATTTTTGTAAGGTGTTCTCAAGACATTTGTTTTACCAGTTGTCAGGACGTCATGTGCTGGTCCCAGATGATCCCAAACCATTATAAGTAAAGTAATGGTATGATTGTTTTAAAGTAAGTGGTACGCTGTTCAGATAAAATATGACGCCATCTGGGAGGTGCATTTGAGGTGCACTGATCTTTCTGCTGTGCCATAAATTCTGTTGTGTTTCTCTACACATTCCTTACATATAATACATCTGTGCACTTTAGATATGACTACTCTTATCATTGATTTAATTGACTTATATCAGCAATTTGGGGTTTTTCTGTATAGTTGTCTAATGTTGGTGGGGCATATTATTCAGTTTCAATGTTACTCCTGAATCCAGGGGCGCAACATTGGTTTTAGAAGTGGGGGGGACATATATTTGTGTCCAGTCGGATAATCACTCCAAACAGCCTACACGACCGCTTTGAGGCGTCTGCATGGTCCTAAAGCACACCGTCGCCTTGTTTTGTATCACATTCCAATGATTAAAAAAAAGATGTCCCCAGGTGAGAGTTGCGTCCCTACCTGAATCACTATGATAAATATAATCGCTTTTCTTGAGTGTATTTTTATCAAAGCTCAGTTGGTATAGCATGGCGCTTGCAACGCCAGGGTTGTGGGTTCGATCCCCACGGGGGGCCAGTATAAAAAAAATAATACATGTATGCACTCACTAACTGTAAGTTGCTCTGGATAAGAGCGTCTGCTAAATGACTAAAATGTAAGTCCAAAGTGTAGGAATACAGGTGAAATCAGTCATTGACACAGACGTGTTGGTGTAGCTGAAAGATCGAAATGTCATGAACCAAGAGGTTTGAGTTCAAATCCCAGGTGAGGACACGTTGAATAATAATTAATGTGTAAATAAACATACACAATGTAGTCATGAGTGCAAATATGTAAGTTGAAAACACTGAACACTACATGACCAAATGTATGTGGACACCTGCTTGTCGAACATCTCATTCCAAAATCATGGGCATTAATATGGAGTTGGTCCCCCTTTGCTGCTATAACAGTCTCCACTCTTCTGGGAAGGCTTTCCACTAGATGTTGGAATGTTTGCTTCCATTCAGTCACAAGAGCATTAGTGAGGTCGGGCACTGATGTTGGGCGATTAGGCCTGGCTCGCAGTCGGCATTCCAATGAATGCCAAAGGTGTTCGATGGGGTTGAGGTCAGGGCTCTGTGCAGGCCAGTCAAGTTCTTCCACACCGATCTCGAAAAACCATTTCTGTATGGACCTCGCTTTGTGCACTGGGGCATTGTCATGCTGAAACAGGAAAGGGCCTTCCCCAAACTGTTGCCACAAAGTTGGAAGCACAGAATCGTCTACAATGTCATTGTATGCTGTAGTGTTAAGATTTCCCTTCACTGAAACTAAGGGGCCTAGCCCGAAACATGAAAAACAGCCCCAGACTATTATTCCTCCTCTACCAAACTTTACAGTTGGCACTATGCATTCGGGCAGGTAGCATTCTCCTGGCATCCGCCAAACCCAGATTTGTCCGTCGGACTGCCAGATGGTGAAGCGTGATGCATCACTCCAGAGAACGCATTTCCACTGCTCCAGAGTCCAATGGCAGCGAGCTTTACACAACTCCAGCCAACGCTTGGCATTGTGCATGGTGATCTTAGGCTTGTGTGCGGCTGTTCGGACATGGAAACCCATTTCATAAAGCTTGGGGATGTTGTATTATGTTAATTAGATTGATGGGTGCGTCAATTGACTCTTAAGGATATAAACTTCCACTATGTTCAGTACTTTACAGCAGCACATGTTTCTAGCCAAGAGGAACATGGCTAGAAGCATAAATACATTAAGCCTTACTCTCCTCCCTCCCTCTTTCCTTCCTCATTCACTCACTCACTCACTCTTTCCATCCTTTCATACACCTTCCTTCAAATAGGGTGCTTACTGTATTCTCCTGCAATTTTCACATCATTCATCCATTATGGCATGTTTTGTTTTTATGGCCAAATAAAACTTATAGACAGGCCCCCTTACAATAATGCACTCTTGCATACAGCCACATGCTTGCCAATATCTGAAGAAATCTAATCGGACAAAAACACACCAGCATAAATAATGTGTTGGCAAATGTACCAGCACTGCAGTTTCCTTACAACTGTCCAGGTGACTTATGTAGACAAACCCCTTACATGTATTGATGTACTTCTGGAAATGAAAGACTATACTATAGCCCTGTTAATACCTGCTGCTAAGATACACCATTTGTCCTGATCTTGTCCACATTTTTAGACAGGTGTAGATGGTTAAAATACACATTGTGGTCTGATTGTGATCAGATCTTCCTGACCACCTCCAGATTTAGTAAGGCACGCATTGTGTCTGGATATCATTCCAGTGTAAACATATCTGTCAAATAATTTGCATACAGGGAGGCACTAGCTTATCTGGTCACAATGAGGACATAGTGGACGGATAAGAGAGACATTTTAATAGACGTGACAACCTTGATCAGATAGTGATTGGATCATATTGATCAGATCACGAAACTCACATGTTAGCGCAAAGTGTAAGCAAAGTTTATATGTGTGGACTTCAGATACCCTCCGCACAACCAGCAGGTCCAAGCCAACAGAAAGGGTTTAGAGGGGCAGTCTGGGATAAAGAAAAAATAATTATACCACATGAAAATATATATATTAATTTATTTCACTAGGGCGAGGTAAAGCAGTATAAACCCAGAACTTTATCTCTGGCTTGCAGATCAAAAGTAAAACCAATTCTACTTCTCTTTTCCTGGATATCCTTAAAGTTAGCCACCAATCTTTCAAGTGCTTTCAAAAGAGGTTTGACTTAGCTCGTTTGACTGATTCTCTCTCTCTCTCTTTCTTTCTCTCTCTCACTCTGGCAGCAGTTACAGTATGTGACAATACATTATTTTTTTTTATATATAGATGTATTTTATTTTAAGCATCAGTGGAAAATGACTTTCATGCGCTGTCCCGGGCTGGTGCGTGGGAGGTGGGGAGGTTATTGGGGGAGGCATGTTTTTGGAGAACCTCAGAACCGCTAGCTGGCGTAGAGCGCTGAGCTGCGGTGTGGTGCGATGCTGTTTGTCTGTGTGAAGCTGAAGCTGGCATGGCCCCCCTTCCTCTGTTCCTCTGCATCTGGTCCTCATTAGCTTAGGAGGGGATGGTATAAAGCAGGGAGCTGACAGGGCTGGGCCTCAGTGCCTGGACCTGGACCATTATGGAAGCTGCTCTTTGGGTGTGCCTTAGTCTGCTCTGTCTGCAGGGCAGCTTGCTCCAGCTCACACATGGTGCAGACTGCACTGGGACATCACAGGGTGAAGACTGTGTCGGTGGGCAGACCATCGAAGGAAAGGTAAGGGATTGGGGCCCCAGGTTACAGTTGTGGGTTTGTTGCGTTTTGTGGAGGAGCTCCATTGGTCAGGTAGATGGAGTTCAGAAGTGTTAGTGCTAGCAGTGTTTTTTTTTGTACAAGCTATTCAAAACACTTCTCCAGACTCTGCAGTAGCAACATTAGCGCAGAAGCCAAAGGAAGCCAATAAATTCTATGAATTCTCTCTGTGTTTCCATTGAGTGTGTGCTGGGTTAAAAACAACTCCATTTGGGATATTTGGTAACCCAGCACTGGGTAAATACTGGACAGAACACATGATGGGCTATTTTGACCCAGCCAGTTGGATTATTTGGATTACCCAAACATGGGTTAATTTAACCATCAGTTGTTGTTTTTTGCCATCAGTTGGGTTGACCCAACAGCTGGGTATGTTTTAATGTAATCCATAGGTTATTTTCCAGAAGCGTGGCCTATTCGGGGTGTGGCATTCAGATAATTATTTTTGGCCTCCCGTAAGAGTAAATGTCATTCCTGTTCATCATGTTAAGTTTTTACACTGAAAATTTCATAATATTATTATTGACATATCCCAACACTGGGATATGAATAGACTCTTGAGGAACTCATACACTTGTGTAAGCCTCATTAAAGCTTCAATAGTGTCAGTGTTCAACCTTAACATGTGATAAAAACACAACAGATAAACTGCAATTACATTTACTCCCACGGGTGGCCATAAATAACTATCTGAAAGCCACACCGCTACTAAGCCATGCCTCTAGTCTTCTGAGCTGAGCCGCTGGGTCATATCTCAATAACCCAGCAGTTTTTTAAGAAAACAACCCAACTAAGTGACCCAACGCCTGCAACCCAGCAGATGGGTCAACCAAACAATCCAGCATTTTTTTAGAGAGTGTGTGTTTGTGTGTGTGTTTGTGTTTGTGTGTGTGTGTGTGTGTGTGTGTGTGTGTGTGTGTGTGTGTGTGTGTGTGTGTGTGTGTGTGTGTGTGTGTGTGTGTGTGTGTGTGTGTGTGTGTGTGGTATTTTGGCTGAGCATGTCATATTTTGGATGGAACACATGCATGGAGTTAAATAGAGTTAAACATTCCAGTAACCTAGTCAGGAACAAAGTCTTATTGTAACCTATTCTATTACTACTGCCCCCAAAAATACCCTCAATGGAACAAACTCTCTGTAGACTTTTAATGTGGCCACAGAGCTGCCATATTTGCGGTCGACATTCTTTGTGGACATTCCCCATGTTCTGTCCAACGTAATTACCCTCATCTGGCCAATACATACAGCAGATATATGAAAGATTTTTCCTTCTGCTTGCATTTTGTTTTTATATTTTGATGTGTGTATTTTTGTAATTTCTGTAATTCAGGGCTCATCTGTAAAAGAGACCTTAGTCTCAGTATAACTCCCTGATAAAATAAAGGTTAAATAAAATAAAATAAATAAAGATGCAGCATTTCAAAAGACGATTTTCACCAACAACATGGAAGATTGAGTCAAGTATTATTTTCCGTGTGGGAAATATTCAAGGTTGTATGTGTTTTGTGTGTAATTACACTATTATAGTATGTGTAATTATATAAACGTCAGATGTGGTTGGACTCCCCGTTGCCTTGGGCAGCATTATTGAAGAAATCTATTTTTAAAAATGTTTAGTTGAATTCAATGCTGAGTTTATTTGCCTGTGCCTTTTCCCACCAAGGTCATGGTGAATGTGGATAATGGAACAGAATACATTACAGGGGTAATTTACGGTGCTCGTCAACAACTAGCACAGAACAAAATGGACTACACTAAAAGTTTTCATAATAGATAAATGAAAAAAGAGCAGAGCACACCTCGTGCACTGGAGTGTGAAGTGTATACAGGGCATGCACTGACCTTTGTACAAAGTATGGTGTCCATATTAGGAAGGAGGAGAGATATGTTTATGGAGGGGATGTACACTGTGAAAGGGCATACAAACTGTCACGACTTCCGCCGAGGCTGCCTCCCCTCCTTGTTCGGGCAGGTTTCGGCGTTCCTTGTCTTTGTGAGTGATTGTTTCATTGTGAGAGCGAGTAGCTCGGTTGAGCTACTCTTCCATTTGTTATTGCCAAGATGGAATATTTCCCTTGTGATAGTTTCGTTTTGACGCTGGGTGCGTTTTATTTATGTAAACGGAATAAACTCTGGACTTCAGTGTTTTACCTCCTGCGCCTGACTCCTTCATTCACACCTCATCACACAAACTCTGTTTTCTTATATGTTCTAGTGAAGCCTACCCCGAACTCTTACAATATGGCCACTGTTTTCCCTTACTCATCCTGACAGGATATGGTTTATGTTAACCTATGGTAACACTTTACATTCAGTTACTGTAATACCTGTCTAATAACAATAATTACGCAATTAACAACATACAAACATGTTGTAACATATCAATTTAGTAATTGTTTAGTAAGTGCATATGAGTGGGGTTGAGGTGTATTATTATTATTACGTAAGTGGAATAAAGAATACAAGTTGTTAAAACATTTTTTTTTATCACATCGTAAAATTCTCTTCTCTCAGAATGATGGGCTTCTGCGGCTGATGCCATCTGCTCCAAGAGAGACTCATACCCAGACAAAGCCACAGGTATGTGAGCCTCCCTCCCCACAAATACATCCTACTACAGTCTGCTCTCTGTCACAGAGGGCTTCTACATTGTACTGGATTACTTTCCACTCTGGGTTTGTGTATGTAAGACATATCGCTGTATAATGGTAACTCCCCAGGAGGAATATGATTCCAATGAGACACTAAAATCAATGCAACTAAAACGCTTGTCCCAAGATATTGAATATTGATATTAAATATACATTCACCAGTCATTGCACAGATATCTGGGTATAAGACAGGATATAGGACTATATACCTCTTTACCAACACACGTGCAGGCATGCACGCACACACTTACACGATTACATTTACAGAAGGTATTTAATTTCTCCCAAACTGCATTAATTAATGATTTACATTTTTCTTGTGCCCAACAGAGAGGACGACTTGGGGCACACTCTACACTTGGTGTAAGACATTTATATAAATTAGGCTACCTACAACTGCAAAACAAAACAATACAACCAATTAGCCAACTATAACTGTACACTGTTGTTTTTACAGTAAATTACTGGCAGCACAGTAGCCAGTAGGTTACTGTAAATGTACAGTACAATTTATAGCATATTACTGTAACACCTGACTACAGCAACATGCTGTCATTCTAGAATTGACAGTGCCTTACTGGAAGCACAGTGGTTAGTAACTGCAGATTTACAGTGCAGGCAGCTACTGCCAACAATTGACAGTATTTCCGTTACATGTATGTGATATAAGTATTTCAATAGTTTCAATATCTATTTTGTATTTCACTGGCCTGAAGTACAATTCATGTATCTTGTAACAGTTTAATAAGAATACATACATTGGTATTGTCGTATCGGATGAGTGGTGGCAATTATTGCTGATAAACAAAGGAGTCCACTCATACTGAATCCTTGATCATAAGTTTATTCAGATCACAAGCTTACAGCATAAGTTTACAGACTCGCGAGGTCTGGAGAGCAGTGTCCTCCAATTCTAATGGCTGCTCTGCCCTTTCTGTAGTCTAGCCCCTATTTATAAACAATACAAAAAGATGGGTGGCTCCCTCTTCTGGCCAATCACCAGTCTCTCCTGTCTACAACACACTTCCTGTCTGTTGTATGTGGCGTTACACTAAAACATTCCCTTTTGATACTAACATAAACAACATTCCATTTCTTCATGAAAAACATTTAACACCATCATAATCTCAATACACTACAGTATTTCCTAATACAAAAATAAACTTGCAAGTAGCCCACTTAACTACATAATGTCCAGCAGTGTGCTTTGCAAGTGTTAATTTTTAACATTTACATTTTGGTCATTTAGCAGACGCTCTTGTCCAGAGGGACGTACAGTCAGTGCATTAAACTAAGGTTGATTTTAAAAAACATATCACAGTCATAGCAAGTAAAACGTTTCTGTAACCGTTACTGAGAATGTTGTTGTAATTAAGAATACATTGGTCTTCAAGGTATTTTGTATTTGTAACAAGATACCTTTTGAAGTATCCTTGCCCATCTCTGGCTAGTGCCAAGTATGTTACTGTAGTATTCACAGTAACTTGCCACCAGCTTCCTTTAAGTTACTGTAATATCAGAGCAATCATACAGTACAACACAGTACAATTTGCCTACTGTACAATAAATAAGTATATTTCACTGTAATTACATTGGTGCAAGCAGGTTGGCTGCTAGGTATTTGTATATTACAGCGTATTTATGAATATTTGGCATTTTATATCACTTGCACTTCTAGAGGCCTAAACAATGGCTTCCAAACAGGTAATGAATACAGGGCAAAATAGACCAAAAGGACTTGGCAAAACACTCAACCAGTAAAGGTTTAAGACTTGCTGCCACTCTGATCTGTCCCCTATACACATTCATTATTTGGGCACTACTACCACATATCAGTTTAATTGGTACAGCATTCTCACTAGCGGGTGCAACAAATATAGACACGTACAAGGCACGCCTCTAAATATGTTAATGACCCAGAGTGTCTTTCTCCATCCACAACATTTTCCCATAATGCACCATAATTCACAGTATGCTGCAATGAACATACAGCAAAACAGGTAATACAGTACTTTACTGTAAAATTGTATTGTAAAATGTATAATATAATTTTACAGCAGTGTATCGGAATGCCAATGAGACCTTCCCCCATTGCTCTTTACAGTACTGTACTGTAATATAGAATTACAGTAGCTAATTGTAAATATGTTGCTCTAAATTTACAGCAATTTGTTACATTGTACATACTGTAGTTATACAACACTACTGTATTGCTGAAGCCACAGTGCTAGCTCCACGTTCATCAAGAATGCCTCATTTATTTCTGAATTGAAGTGGAAAGATGACAACATACCGTCGGACGTGCCGTTGGACAGACAGAAGAGAGAGTTGGGGAAGCACTCCAGCCTTCCTGGGTCCTTCTCAGCCAAGGGCTTCCCCAACACACTCATCCAAGTTCAGGTAATACTGGAGACAGGGAGGGAGACGAAACAGAGGGAGCGGTCTCAAATGATCCAATGGGGCTGTTGTGTTGAAATTTTTGTGATCCCTTAATAACAGTGGCATAAGAAAGAATGTGATGGATGGTGTACTGGAGTTTCTTATCATGAGTTGTTTTCTTGAAGCACTTGGTATGCTACAGTGGTGGCTAGTGTCATTTTAAATATGAAGGGCTCATTGTAATGCTTGGGATAGAATAAATGGAACCGCATCAAACACATCAAAGACATGGTTTCCATGCTTACCGTTCTATTTATCCATTCTAGCCATTATTATGAGCCGTCCTCCCTTCAACAGCCTCCTGTGTAACATACAGTAGCCGGGCCCCTGTTAGTTTCTAAATGATCTCCCGGGAATGTTGTTCCTCCAGACAGAGCGGGCCAGGAGACACTTGGGCCAGTCTGGGACCAAGAAGAATAACAAGCCTAAATCCAGAGTGGGATCTTTTTCTCTGCTCAGCAACAACAACCCCAGCGCCACCATTCAGGTACACAACATTGCCATGACAACCCAGGAGCAGACCATCACATGATACAAGTCCATAGTTAATATCAGAACTTTTTGTTTAGTGAGATTCTCAAACACACTGCTGACATGAGATATGTACAGTGTCCATATTAGGACAGCCTAAGTCTCAGCAGGAGTTACTGAGAGGCTACAGTGGCTTGCGAAAGTATTCAACCCCCTTGGCATTTTTCCTATTTTGTTGCCTTACAACCTGGAATTAAAATGGATTTTTGGGGGATTGTATCATTTGATTTACACAACATGCCTACCACTTTGAAGATGCAAAATATTTTTTGTTGTGAAACAAACAAGAAATAAGACAAAAAAACGGACAACTTGAGCGTGCATAACTATTCACCCCCCCAAAGTCAATACTTTGTAGAGACACCTTTTGCAGCAATTACAGCTGCAAGTCTCTTGGGGTATGTCTCTATAAACTTGGCACATCTAGCCACTGGGATTTTTGCCCATTCTTCAAGGCAAAACTGCTCCAGCTCCATCAAGTTGGATGGGTTCCGCTGGTGTGCAGCAATTTTTAAGTCATACCACAGATTCTCAATTCGATTGAGGTCTGGCCTTTGACTAGGCCATTCCAAGACATTTAAATGTTTCCCCTTAAACCACTAAAATGTTGCTTTAGATGTATGCTTAGGGTCATTGTCCTGCTGGAAGGTGAACCTCCGTCCCAGTCTCAAATCTCTGGAAGACTGAAACAGGTTTCCCTCAAGAATTTCCCTGTATTTAGCGCCATCCATCGTTCCTTCAATTCTGACCAGTTTCCCAGTCCCTGCCGATGAAAAACATCCCCACAGCATGATGCTGCCACCACCATGCTTCACTGTGGGGATGGTGATCTCGGGGTGATGAGAGGTGTTGGGTTTGCCCCAGACATAGCGTTTTCCTTGATGGCCAAAAAGCTAAATTTTTGTCTCACCTGACCAGAGTACCTTCTTCCATATGTTTGGGGAGTCTCCCATATGCCTTTTGGCAAACACCAAACGTGTTTGCTTATTTTTTTCTTTAAGCAATGGATTTTGTCTGGCCACTCTTCCGTAATGCGCAGCTCTGTGGAGTGTACAGCTTAAAGTGGTCCTATGGACAGATACTCCAATCTCCGCTGTGGAGCTTTGCAGCTCCTTCAGGGTTATCTTTGGTCTCTTTGTTGCCTCTCTGATTAATGCCCTCCTTGCCTGGTCCGTGAATTTTGGTGGGCGGCCCTCTCTTGGCAGGTTTGTTGTGGTGCCATATTCTTTCAATTTTTTAATAATGGATTTAATGGTGCTCCGTGGGATGTTCAAAGTTTCTGATATTTTTTTATAACCCAACCCTGATCTGTACTTCTCCACAACGTTGTCCCTGACCTGTTTGGAGAGCTCCTTGGTCTTCATGGTGCCGCTTGCTTGGTGGTACCCCTTGCTTAGTGGTGTTGCAGACACTGGGGCCTTTCAGAACAGGTGTATATATACTGAGATCATGTGACAGATCATGTGACACTTAGATTGCACACAAGTGGACTTTATTTAACTAATTATGTGACTTCTGAAGGTAATTGGTTGCACCAGATCTTATTTAGGGGCTTCATAGCAAAGGGGGTGAATACATATGCACGCACCACTTTTCCGTTATTTCTTTTTTAGAATTATTTGAAACAAGTTATTTTTTTTCATTTCACTTCACCAATTTTGACTATTTTGTGTATGTCCATTACATGAAATCCAAATAAAAATCCATTTAAATTACAGGTTGTAATGCAACAAAATAGGAAAAATGCCAAGGGGGATGAATACTTTTGCAAGGCACTGTATCTTAGCGATACTTAGTCAACTTGCATTCAACATTGTATAATTGAAGTGTTACATCATGTCGCTGTTCTTCCAGGTAACCAGAGTACGGAGGCAGCTGCAGAAGGAGAGGAAGAACGGGAAGCCAAGAGGACAACCAGGAGCGTACTCTGCTATGGACGTCCCAGATAAACCCGAACCCTTGGTGAGACCCATGTACCCCTCCACGTATCCCTCAACCCCAACTGAGTCTATCAATCAATAAACCAATTAATCACTTTTTTGTGCCCAGAGAGGAATTCTGTTTGCAAGCATGTTAAGAATAGAGTTCATTCAAAATAGTTAAAAACCGCTAACACAAAAAAAGTTTAAAACCTGTTGTGTTAAATTCACCTCCATCTGATTTGTCACTCTAGTCTAAACTAATGTTTGATGTGAACAAATTAATAACTTGATTCTTTCCCCAGGGACAAAGACGCAAGAGGAGCGCACAGAAGAAGAAACAGACCAAGAGAATTGTTTGTTCATAAACATTTCATTAAACAAGGGACTTTGCGGAAGCGCTACTGCTTCAATAGTTCATCAACTGTACTTTATATCTTCTTCTCTTTGTAAACATATTGGTTTTATGTATATTTTTCAATTTAATAATAATGTAATATATATAATGGACACGCTTCCCTGAGGACAAGTATACAGTACTTTTGAGAACCCCTTTAATATTCTCGTTTATGATTCTTTTTTTGTTTGTTGTTGTTGGTTGATGGTGATTGTTTGGTAACCCTGTGCATATTACCAGGTTTAAATAAAGTAAACATGTACAGTGAGGGAAAAAAGTATTTGATCCCCTGCTGATTTTGTAAGTTTGCCCACTGACAAAGAAATGATCAGTCTATAATTTTAATGGTAAAAAAATGTTATAAATTGATTTGCATTTTAATGAGGGAAATAAGTATTTGACCCCCTCTCAATCAGAAAGATTTCTGGCTCCCAGGTGTCTTTTATACAGGTAACGAGCTGAGATTAGGAGCACACTCTTAAAGGGAGTGCTCCTAATCTCAGTTTGTTACCTGTATAAAAGACACCTGTCCACAGAAGCAATCAATCAATCAGATTCCAAACTCTCCACCATAGCCAAGACCAAAGAGCTCTCCAATGATGTCAGGGACAAGATTGTAGACCTACACAAGGCTGGAATGGGCTACAAGACCATCGCCAAGCAGCTTGGTGAGAAGGTGACAACAGTTGGTGCGATTATTCGCAAATGGAAGAAACACAAAATAACTATCAATCTCCCTCTGCCTGGGGCTCCATGCAAGATCTCACCTCGTGGAGTTGCAATGATCATGAGAACGGTGAGGAACTACACGGGAGGATCTTGTCAATGATCTCAAGGCAGCTGGGATCATAGTCACCAAGAAAACAATTGGTAACACACTACGCCGTGAAGGACTGAAATCCTGCAGCGCCCGCAAGGTCCCCCTGCTCAAGAAAGCACATATACAAGCCCGTCTGAAGTTTGCCAATGAACATCTGAATGATTCAGAGGAGAACTGGGTGAAAGTGTTGTGGTCAGATGAGACCAAAATCGAGCTCTTTGGCATCAACTCAACTCGCCGTGTTTGGAGGAGGAGGAATGCTGCCTATGACCCCAAGAACACCATCCCCACCGTCAAACATGGAGGTGGAAACATTATGCTTTGGGGGTGTTTTTCTGCTAAGGGGACAGGACAACTTCACCGCATCAAAGGGACGATGGACGGGGCCATGTACCGTTAAATCTTGGGTGAGAACCTCCTTCCCTCAGCCATGGCATTGAAAATGGGTCGTGGATGGGTATTCCAGCATGACAATGACCCAAAACACATGTCCAAGGCAACAAAGGAGTGGCTCAAGAAGAAGCACATTAAGGTCCTGGAGTGGCCTAGCCAGTCTCCAGACCTTAATCCCATAGAAAATCTGTGGAGGGAGCTGAAGGTTCGGGTTGCCAAACGTCAGCCTCGAAACCTTAATGACTTGGAGAAGATCTGCAAAGAGGAGTGGGACAAAATCCCTCCTGAGATGTGTGCAAACCTAGTGGCCAACTACAAGAACCGTCTGATCTCTGTGATTGCCAACAAGGGTTTTGCCAACAAGTAAGTACTAAGTCATGTTTTGCAGAGGGTTCAAATACTTATTTCCCTCAATAAAATGCAAATCAATTTATAACATTTTTGACATGCGTTTTTCTGGATTTTTTTGTTGTTATTCTGTCTCTCACTGTTCAAATAAACCTACCATTAAAATTATAGACTGATCATGTCTTTGTCAGTGGGCAATCGTACAAAATCAGCAGGGGATCAAATACTTTTTTCCCTCACTGTATGAGAATACTTCATGAGAACTTTCCACAACATAAGTCTACAGAGGGCTGCTGTAGCTAGCTAGCACTGTTTATTTTCCATTTAGTCTATGACAGAATTGGACTCCACCTTGACAAATGGACTAGAACATTTCACTGTTCCCAAAAACCAGGCTAGTCCTTTAGCCCAATAAATCTTTCCAGCTCTCCCTCCCTGTTGCCCAGTGCAAAACCTTGAATTCCCACACAATGGGACCTGGGTAACTTCCAGAAGTTAATTCAGAAATTGCGGATTAGGGGGGAAAATGTCACTGAGCTCCAATTACAGATTGCTGAGCTACAGGCAGTGGCTATGTCCCAAATGGCACCATATTCCCTACATAGTGCACTACTTTTCACCATCTTATGGCTAAATTCATGGTTAGGGTTCAAAAGATGAACTTAGCCTTAAGATGCTTTTGGGAAACCCGGGTTGTGAGTACTATGGGCCCTGGTCAAAAGTAGTGCGCTATGTAAGGAAGAGGGTGCAATTTGGGCTGCAGCCAGTGAATGCCCAATGCAGTGTGGACCAGGTGCAGAGTCTAAACCTTCAGTCAAACCTTTAGGTTGAGAGCCCAACTATTCTGTAAAATTAATGGGCGTTGGACCAGTTGATAACGGGGAAGAAATCATCAAGATCTTAGACTGTATACGCCATCTGTTTCAGAAGTCAAACTTAATTTGTAAGAAAAAAATATGTTTATTTTTAATTAATTTAGCCAGAGCTAGGAAGCTCATGGCACTGCATTAACTAATGGATGGTTTGAATGATTTTGCAGACCAGTCATATATACCCAGCAAAGCTACTCTGTGAATGTACTGTCAGAATGGAGGCTTGTTTATTCCAGGGACATACTGTATCAACAAGGATCCAAGGTGAGGTCCAAGTCTAAGGTGTCTATATTAGGACAGCCTCAGTCTCAGGAGGAGTTGTTTCAATCAATCTCTGGCACTATAGCCACAAGGTAATTAAATACATACAGTGGGGGAAAAAAGTATTTAGTCAGCCACCAATTGTGCAAGTTCTCCCACTTAAAAGGATGAGAGAGGCCTGTAATTTTCATCATAGGTACACGTCAACTATGACAGACAAATTGAGAATTTTCTTTCCAGAAAATCACATTGTAGGATTTTTAATGAATTTATTTGCAAATTATGGTGGAAAATAAGTATTTGGTCACCTACAAACAAGCAAGATTTCTGGCTCTCACAGACCTGTAACTTCTTCTTTAAGAGGCTCCTCTGTCCTCCACTCGTTACCTGTATTAATGGCACCTGTTTGAACTTGTTATCTGCATAAAAGACACCTGTCCACAACCTCAAACAGTCACATTCCAAACTCCACTATGGCCAAGACCAAAGAGCTGTCAAAGGACACCAGAAACAAAATTGTAGACCTGCACCAGGCTGGGAAGACTGAATCTGCAATAGGTAAGCAGCTTGGTTTGAAGAAATCAACTGTGGGAGCAATTATTAGGAAATGGAAGACCACTGATAATCTCCCTCGATCTGGGGCTCCACGCAAGATCTCACCCCGTGGGGTCAAAATGATCACAAGAACGGTGAGCAAAAATCCCAGAACCACACAGGGGGACCTAGTGAATGACCTGCAGAGAGCTGGGACCAAAGTAACAAAGCCTACCATCAGTAACACACTACGCCGCCAGGGACTCAAATCCTGCAGTGAAAGACGTGTCCCCCTGCTTAAGCCAGTACATGTCCAGGCCTGTCTGAAGTTTGCTAGAGTGCATTTGGATGATCCAGAAGATGATTGGGAGAATGTCATATGGTCAGATGAAACCAAAATATAACTTTTTGCTAAAAACTCAACTCGTCGTGTTTGGAGGACAAAGAATGCTGAGTTGCATCCAAAGAACACCATACCTACTGTGAAGCATGGGGGTGGAAACATCATGCTTTGGGGCTGTTTTTCTGCAAAGGGACCAGGACGACTTTTCCGTGTAAAGGAAAGAATGAATGGGGCCATGTATCGTGAGATTTAGAGTGAAAACCTCCTTCCATCAGCAAGGGCATTGAAGATGAAATGTGTCTGGGTCTTTCAGCATGACAATGATCCCAAACACACCACCCGGGCAACGAAGGAGTGGCTTCGTAAGAAGCATTTCAAGGTCCTGGAGTGGCCTAGCCAGTCTCCAGATCTCAACCCCATAGAAAATCTTTGGAGGGAGTTGAAAGTCCGTGTTGCCCAGCGACAGCCCCAAAACATCACTGCTCTAGAGGAGATCTGCATGGAGGAATGGGCCAAAATACCAGCAACAGTGTGTGAAAACCTTGTGAAGACTTACAGAAAACGTTTGACCTGTGTCATTGCCAACAAAGGGTATATAACAAAGTATTGAGAAACTTTTGTTATTGACCAAATACTTATTTTCCACCATAATTTGCAAATAAATTCATACAAAATCCTACAATGTGATTTTCTGGAATATTTTTTCTCATTTTGTCTGTCATAGTTGATGTGTACCTATGATGACAATTACAGGCCTGTCTCATCTTTTTAAGTGGGAGAACTTGCACAATTGGTGGCTGACTAAATACTTTTTTCCCCCACTGTAAACATTTGTATTGTGAAAAATGCATATGAAGGAGTCCTTGCAACAATCATGCAATTCTACAGCATATCAAAATCTTTATTTAAATATTTTATGAGTTAAGGCATTATAAGTAATTCTTAATGCTTATAAAATGACTCAATTTGGGCCTCCCGAGTGGCGCAGCGGTGTAAGGCACTGCATCGCAGTGCTAGAGGTGTTACTACAGACCCGGGTTCATTCCCGGGCTGTACCACAACCGGCCGTCCCATAGCATCATCTGTTGTCCAGCAGACACAACACTTGTTCTGACAGATCTTCACATTATTCCTCCCACAATCACATTAAGGCAGAGCAAGAGTTAGGGCTCTATTCAATCTGTATCGCTGAAGCGTTACGGATAGCGCGCTAGAAATGTAAAGGTAATTTCCTATTGAGCTGACATCTGCAGCGTTTACCGTGACTGCAGTCTCCGCTAACGCGGGAACATTGCCTTTAAATTTTAATCACGCTATAAAGCTGAATTTCCACGATACGGAATGAATAGAACCCTTAATCATGATCATGTTTTAGATATGTAAAGCTCACTATCTCCGTATGTGGAGATAATGCCATAGCTCCAGTAAAGTTGAAAAAGGCCGTAATGGCTGCCATGGAGACACACTGGAGTGGAGTGAATACCTAATGTGCAGGATGATTTAGTTGATAACTTGAATAGCAAATTAAGCAACCATTGATGTCATAGCTCCAGTAAAGTTGAAAAAGGCCACATACAAAAGCAGAGCCCTGTAATGCTCTCCTGTCTGGTCTACCCAAGAAAGCCATTGGTCAACTGCAAAACATACAGAATGCTGCAGCACAGGTACTGACCAAGAACAGATGGAGAGCACACATTACACTGGTTTT